TTTTATAGGTTTTTATAGGTTTTTACAGGTTTTTTTTATTTCCATAGCATAATGTCTTATGGGATTTTGCTACGGGGAAATGCGGCTGATTTGAAACTATTTTTGTTTTGCAGAAGAGGGCCATAAGAGCTATTTACAACCTTAAACCGAGCGCGTCTCCTAGAGAAAAATTCAAAGAAATAAATATATTGACTTTGGCCTCTCAGTATATTTACGAAAATTTAATGTATGTTCACAAAAATAAAGATACTCGTAGTTTCAGTGAAAAAGTGATATACACTCCGTAAACACTAGGAACAAACACAAGCTAGTGATACCGGACTCTCGACTCCACAGAGTCAGTAATTCATTCTTGGGGCAATGTATACGCTATTACAACGAAGTACCAGAAAATATACAAGGTAAACAGTTTAAATATATAATTAAACAAAAGCTGTATAAAAAGGGTTATTATAATATAAATGAATACATGGTTGTTAATAACCCCTGGGACAGAGGTGGTCGCTTCCAAGCTGTTTCTAAGATAAATTTTGAAAATAGTTTGTAATTATTTATATTGTAAAATTTATTTAAAAAAGGCCCGCTAGGTTTCTTGCTGGTTCTTCCCAGGACAGAGGATTTTTTTTTTCGAACCAGTGCTAAAGTAAAAAATGACTTTCAATAAGAATCACTTGTAATCTATATTTAATAAAAAATTATTCTATTCAATGCTATTCTAGGATAAGGGTGACAAACGAGCACACAGTCCACCTGATGGTAAGTGGTTGCTGTGGCCCATAAACATCTACATCTATACTTGTTTGTGAGTCTAAATGCAGATGCGTTGTCAGCCGCGGGGACTAACATGGAATGCCTCTTTTACAGTAAAAAGGGTCTCGGGTTTTCTGCACTCACCATACAGTATATTAAGTTGCTTTATGCTGATATTTTGTGAGAGCGTGGTCCTTCCCTGGTCGAGCCGACCCATTTTCGTGCAACAATTGTACAATTAATTTAGCTGCATCATGGCTCTACCACGTTTAGAGGTTATAATGTGTTATATAAAATTTACATTAATCATTTAATGGGTGTATTTAAGCTTACGGGTGCATTTTTTGTTGTAAAATGGTGTGTATAAATCTTTAAGAGATAGAATATAGAGTCATGGATTTTTTTGTGTATGCCAATTAAAAAAAGTTTAGTTCCAAGTTTTCTGTGACTAATGGTTTATGAGATAATCATCAAACTTTATTTACGCTTGATAAAATAGGAGATGAAGCTTTTAATGTAACTATATTCTGACGACATTAAGATGTGTGATATTTCATATAAATCTTTAAATTCTAATATCTCATTTAACTCAAAATGAAAATTCGACAAAGTTTTGAGATAATACTAAAAATAGCTAATTAAAACATGTATGTATAATGTAGTAATTTATTGATGGTGTCCAATAACCAATTGCAATCAAAATGTTCATTGTTGCCAGTGGAGATCGAATTCGGTTTGCTCATATACTACGAGTATAAAATTCCAGGTGGGCATTTATTCACTGAGCTCAACGGTTTTCCTGTGATCTACTATCTAACATCATAATAGCGCCCTATATTTGTTTTGTATCTACATGATATGATTTATATCTATGAGAGTAACATCTCAAAGGAAAGCAAAAATAACAATAATTATTTATTTTCAGAGAAACATTTCTAAATCACTGTGAGTTTGAATACTCACTGTACAACAGTTTCGTATAAGATATTAATATAAGTATATATTATAGTATAAGATATTAAGTATAAGATATATTAGAACTCATATCGCTTTAATTGAAAACATTTTGATAAATGAAAAACGCGATAATTGTGTTAAGATAACTAACTCACATTGAAAAATATGATATTCTTTTTAATAAAATATGGTCGACTAACGAACACACAGTCCAGCTGATGGTAAGTGGATGCTGTGGCCCATAGACATCCACATTAATCCTCAATTAAGAATCAACAGATGCGTTGTCACCCCCGAGGACCAAGATGGAATGCCTAGTATCCAGTAAAAAGGGTCTCCGGTTCTCTACACTCATCACACAAAACACAACAGAATTAAGCTACTATTTTACGCTGGTATTCTATGAGAGTGTGGTCCTCGTTGAATGACTTTACAAAGCCTTTGAGGGGAATTTTGAATAACCAGCTATCTTATCACCAGCAGCGTTGATCGGTCGAAGTGACCCCTTCATGCTACAACCATAATATACCTGCAGCGTGGCTCTACCACGTATTAAAAGCATTAAATAAAAATACTAATTTTTTTGTTTTTTTATTAACTAAATACGCATTAACAAATAAGAATCAGTGCATACAGTACTGATTCTTATTTGTTAATTCATAAGCAGTCTAAGAATCGTATTTTTGGGTTTTATTATAAGCTTTTATTTAACTTGCAATGTAACTATGTTTGTTCGGGTGGAATCTTGCAACTCAATTTTGAAGCAGATATCTTCGATCGATTGAGCTGAAATTTTGTATACACGTTAAGTGATGACAATGCATGATTAGCTGTGTGACGTAGTTCTAAATCCAACATGGTGGAACATCCAAGATGGCGGACTAGTTATTTTTAATGCACTCCTATAATATGGGTATCAAATGAAAGAGCTTGTTTACTACTTGTAACTCGAAAAATAAAAAGACATCACTCTAAATCCAGTATGATGGACTTCTAAAGATGGCAGGCTAAGTTTTTTATGCTTTCCTACAATATGGGTATCAAATGAAAGGACTTGCTGAAAATACGAATGCGAATTAACCAAAAATAAGATGGTGATCATAAACTCGGTTGCTCCAATCCGTCTGAAATTTTGGCGTACTGGGGTTTTAGCAGTCCTCGATAATGATATTGAGGTCGAATTGTTCGAGTCTGTAGCATCGGTTGATTAACTTTGACTTGTGTGATTTGACAGGATAAGCGTCAAAAGCATTGGTTTGCAACCTGTCTAGGAGAAGGGTAACTCCAAAATCAAACCTGGAACTGTGTTTCTTAAGGCACAAATAAGCTTCAAGCTGAAATAAGTAGTGCATTCCTCCAAACACTCGAGTCAAGTTGAGGCCGTGCCGAGGACTGAGTGGTATCAGGATGTAACATGATGTCAATCCGTCTGAAATATTGGTGTACTGGGGTTTTTGAAGTCCTTGAATATGATATTGGGGTTGAATTGCTCGAGTCTGTAGCATTGGTTGATAAACTTTGACTGTCCAAAGGTCTGGTGAATGGTGCCATTGGACATATTACAGAAATCATATGGCCCTGCTTCCAGAGAGCACAAATGTATGATACTGACATACCATCCGTCCGTATAGATTTCGGTAAAGACGGTGTTCATCTCGTTAAACCCAAGACTGTACAACTTCCAGCAAAATATAGTCACGGCACAGCAGAACGATGAATGCTGCCAATTATAGCCCAACAGGGCTTGCACAGTACATAAAATGCAGGGTATGTCGACCATGCCGTTGTATACTTAGGTTTGAAGCTCTTCACTGCTGGTCAAGCATACGCGGTCTTAAGTAGGGTAAATCATTAGAGGGTCTCCTTATTGAAGAGCTAGACTGTTTGAAATTAACCGACAAACGACCTTGCAACAATGATGCGTTGAATGAGATGATCAGACTGAGAAACCTGTCCAGCGATAACTAAAAAGTAAAAAATATAGGCTTTGATTTTAATTTTAACTTCCACCGCAAGCTGCAATTGTAATTCTGCATTGTAAAACTTAGTAAAAACCTATTTAAGGGATTGTGAGACAAAGTAAATATAAATATAATTTAAAATTAAAAATTTTGTACAGCCGACTTCAATATAAGTTATTACGAATAACTCAAAAACTAGCCGTATTTATACAAAACTTACTCGACAAGCCCTTAATCCATATATGATTATCCCAAAATATAAAAATATGTACGGAAAATTTAGATTACAATATCAAATTCCCGCTCTTTTGAACCAAATTCCCAAACCAATAAAAAATGATCTTACTGAAAAAAAAATTAAATATATGCTTAAACAGTATTTTATCGACAAACTGTTAACGATATCTAATAATAACTTAAACTAAAATATAAAACTAAACATATAACACTAACACACACAATAATATAATATACATAAATAAAAAAAATTTACTAATTTTCATTTAATACTAACCATATTTTGCTTTGGTACACACCTAGATAAAAAAAAAACATCTTGCTATTTTGTCACAGCATTTATATACGTCAATAAATAAGTTGTCGCAACGCGAACCGATTGAACATGATCGAAGTTACGAATTGGCGGTACATGGAAAAACTTTTGTAAGTTTATTTGTACTGTCGGATGTTATTAAATAACTATACTTTGTAATAAATAAATAAATAAATAAAAATAAATAAAATAAATATTGGTCTAACCTAGATCAAATTCATATGGGACAAAAAGTATCAGCTTTCATATAAAAAAAAGAATCATCGAAATCGGTCCACTTAGTAAAAAGTTATGAGGTAACACACATAAAAAAAAACATACGCGTCGAATTGAGTACCGTCTCCTTTTTGGAAGTCGGCAGAAAATGAGAGAATTTAAGCGTAAGTAATTTTTGAAGCGTAAGTAATAATCATATCTGTTAAACGACAAGAGATATAAAATAAACTTCGAACAAAACGAAGAATCTTCTATCTCTTAAAGATTTATAAACACGATTTTATAACAAACAAAATGTAAAAGCTCAATACTTATTCTGTAATTTTAAGGAAATATGGTTTTAAAAAATGTTCAACTTACTCTTACCAAATATTTTGAGCATGTATTACGCAAATAATCATTAATTGATCAGTGATCATTATTGTTTTTTGCCGTGGTAATGCAAAAATAATTAGCACTTAATTTAATCACTAATTAGTTCGTTTAGTATAAATTTGGGAACAAATGCAATACAATTATCATTTTAAAATCATCTGCAAAGCTCTACTTGCTCGATAAGAAAAATGTTTTTCTTTATTTCAATTGCGGCTGCATTATGTGCGATTTCTGGTAAGTACTGATATTTTAAATTTATAAATGATTTCTCTGATTATTTTTTTCGATGACTATAAATATGATTTTTCATACTACATTTGTAGTAATAGGAGAAATCATCTAGCTAGACGGATTTGACTATCATAGTACTAAATAACTCACGCTGTGGACAAACATTTCTTATTGTCGTTCACCACAGCAACAACTAACAAAATATATTTTATTTTAAAGGCGCTACGCAAATTCAAACTCAAGACGCCGCTCTTGAAGATATAGTTTGTAAGGAATACAATACCTACTACAAGATAAAAGGCAGCTGCGACTCATATGTAGAATGCACCGTAAGTTTCTGTGTTTTTATTATAGTTTTATTTACATTTTTTAACATTAAGTTATTTTGATAATAACTGTTATCAGTCTGTTATAGTTACTGTTATATAACTGTTGAGAGTAACTCTCTTCAAATGGTAGGATTTCTCGTAATCGCCACTTATCGCATTAAAGGCGATACCTTTCATCTATTTAATGAATATTTGTATTATTATAATGATTATTCCGCCACCTTTTATATTTTTCTTACAATACTTTGAGAATTTTCTGACTATTTTATTAGACGATTCTTATGACATCCAGGGAATAAAGTTTCTTTTTTTCATATACATTAATTAGAATGGCAAACATCTAAGTCCACCAGATGGTAAGTCGTTTCAGTTGCCCATAGATAATTGGGCAACTGTAACGATGAAATGCATAGTAATCATCATTTTGTTGTTACTAAGGTTTGTATTCCGTGAGAACGTAGTTCTTCCCTGACCGAGTTATTCGAAAAGCGACTTCTGCCCCATACATGGTGTATACAGGGTGATTTTTTCGACGTCCCTATATCATGTCAAATTCATTTAACACTTAATCTATCATCACTACAACTGAAGAGGATTATGTTCGGCAGATAACTTACACGGGCTGATAAAAAAAGTACTTAAGTTCCGTTTTATTACTTTTACTAGGCTTACAAAGCGACATACAAGACTTGTCCTGATGGCATGTACTTTATCCGTGATGTGGTATGGCCCACGTACCCTTGTGCTTACCCATCCGACGCGCAATGTGATGACGACGATACACCTCGTAAGTATCCCCACTAACATTATATCATCACTTATCAAGGTCTTTGACCGCCTTACGAATTATATCACAAACTGAAGTGATTATGACTGAACATCACAGAGCATGGAATAGCCATGCCGCCAAGATAGCGGCGAAGATATCCCGTGCTCTGTGGTTTAGAAATTCGTTAGAAATTATTAGCATCATTGTTGATAATTTCTAAAGATTCTGAAACTAGGTTTCTAGCCAAAACTTGTTGATAGATTTTCAGTCACCATTTTACGAAACACGAAAATATTTTATATACGCGCCTCTAATTTGCAAGTACCATGCTGTATTAATTATTTTATTTTAACAGAACAAGCCATAGCGTCACAAGATTGCAAGAACCAGTACGGATTCTTCGCGTCACCATTAGCGACTCGCTCCGATTGTGGCAAATACCGAATGTGTGTGGCGGGTAAAGCGTTCGAAATGGAGTGCTCAATGGGTCTTGCCTTCAATCCAGAAACTGGTCGCTGCGACTGGCCTGATCTTGTACCTAGCTGCAACGCTGACGGTACCTACAACTTTCCACAAATTTAATGCAATAACAATCACTTTTTGTGAATGGGTAATAAATATTTATTTCCAAATTTCAGAATTTCTTGGCTTCAAATGTCCTCCTGCAACTTACGATGAATTTGGCAAGGCTTACGTAGTTAATTTCAGGTAAAATTAATTTCGATTTTTAACTGTATGTATTTTAAAACTGAAAGAAAGATTGATTTGCTAAGTTGCATTTATTACTACTAAGTTTAGTTTATTTATTACTGCATATATGAATAACAGGGATTCTCTTACGTAGTAAAAAATAATAACAATACTTATACAATTATATTTATTTTACAGCATCCCTGGTAGCTGCCACTACTTCTTCTCTTGTATGGAGAATGTAGCGCGGCTGTTGCTCTGTGACTCCGGCTTTCTGTTCGACTCTACCGTTAACCGCTGCGTGGACGCCACTCGTGTCGAGTGCCATGAAGGACGTTGATTCCCAAATTTAATATTTTAAACAAATCTTATGTATTAAATAATTTCGTAATAAAAAATAAAATAACAACAATCACATAAGTTTCTTTGTTTAAAACCTTTGTGTTCATATAAACTTTCAAAACTTATATTTGAATGTATTTTTAATTTCAACTGCGACTGCTGCGATGAATTAATTTCATCTTGCAGATACTAAAATAACATTATGTATTAACATTAGTTCGTTAATATGTTAAGTACTATAAGTTAAAAGGGTTAAATAAAATAGGATAGTAGATAAGGAATTGGCAGCCGCTATAAGAATGAGAGGAGGCCTGTGCACGGTAGTGTATTGTATTAGGATGTAACTCACTATAATAATTAGATGACATGTTCTTCATAGTGTGACGACAGCTAATCAGTCACGTAAAATACCCTAGACTTTAACTGTGAACGCTAACATGCTTGCCATTAGTGGCAACTACATCAAATCAATTTGTCTCTGAAGAAGGTGCATGACCTCTGGTGGCTTCTTCCATGGAATACGATGTCAATTACTGCTGTCAATTACTTTAACCATTAAATCATGTGATCGCCATGAAATCACGTCTTATTACGTCATCAATTATTATTTTAACAAGTGCATGTTGGGCTAGTAAAAAGTTGTATCTTTAGAAAGAAAGAAGAAAGAAAGAAAGAACTAAGTATATTAAACACACACTTAAAACAAAAAATGTAAAATAAAACCCAAAATATGCACACACTATTAGACTGCTTACGCATTAACAAATAAGAATCAGTGCATACATGCGTAATTAGTTAAAAATAACACAGAAAAAATTAAAATATTTTTATTTAATGGTTTTAATACGTGGTAGAGCCACTCTGGAGCTATATTATGGTTCTAGCATGGAGAGGTCAGTTCGACCGTCCAACGCTGCTGGTGATAAGATTTTCTCGTTCAAAGACCACGCTCTCACGGAATACCAGTGTAAAATAGCAGCTTAATTCTGTTGTGTTTTGTGTGACGAGTGTAAAGTACCGGAGATCCTTTTTACTGGATACGAGGCATTCCATCTTGGTTCTCAGGGGTGACAACGCATCTGCATTTTGATTCTTAATCAAGGATTAATGTGATGTGATGCATATAGACCACAGGATCCACTTACCATCAAGTGGACTGTGTGCTCTTCACCAATATTCTATAAAAATATCATATCAATAAGGTCAAAGCATAAGCTGCAAAGCAGTGCTGGTTTTCAGTGTGAGCTAGGTATAACACGCTTACTCGTTTTTGATTCATCAAAATGTTTTCGATTAAAGCGAAATTAGTTCTAATATATCATATACAAAAACTGTTGTACCCACAGTGAGTATTCAAACTCACAGTGTTTTATAAATGTTTTAATCATCATCATCATTACAGCCCTTCACAAGTCCACTGCTGAACATAGGCCTAACCCAAGGAATGCCACAAAGCACGGTCCCGATAAATGTTTATCTGAAAATAAATAATTATTGTTATACTTTGCTTTCCTACAATTTTTTACTCTCATAGATATTAATCATATCATGTAGATAAAACACAAATATAGGGCGCTATTATGGTGTTAGATCGTAGATCACAGGAAAAACGTGGAAGCTCAATGGATAAACACTCACCTGGAATTTTAAAGTACATGAGCAAACCGAATTCGATCTCCGCTGGCAACAATAAAAACACATTAATTGCAATTGTTTATTGGACACCATCAATAAATTACTTCAAAATACATACATATTTTAATTATTATTTATTAGTAATTAATATAATGAAATAAGTATGTATGTGCTTAGCCGTGACCTCGTTATAACAATACCGGTAGTAACTGTGACATACTTTAGTTATATTTGTGTTAGTGATTTTGTTGATATATTTTAGGTTTATGTATTAAAAGTACTAGAATATGGACTAAAATGGAACAGCCCCTTCAACCGGAGTGCCAGGACCACTCTCACCCCGCCTCCATCAATCCCACCCATGCAGACACCCACTTTAAGCAAACCAAACAAAACAATTCCAACTCCTGAGTTACAACATTGGATGACAACCATTGAAATGTGCCTTAACGAGGTGTGCTCAATCGCTACAGACGGAGAACTTAACTCGGATCAAAAAATGCACATCAGCTCGCTTTGTTGAAAAGTAAGCCACGGTACATCACAGTTGGTAGTCCAGTACATGTCCCTCAAAATTGATGCCACTAAAGCCCAGACCTCCATCGTATCTCTGTAGAACCAACTTGACCAATCCCAAAAAGAACTCAAGAATAGTATCGAAGAGTCATCAAAACCGGACTCTGGAACCAGTTTTGTGGACATGGTCAAATAAGGTGGCCAAACCCTCATTCGCCCAAACAATCTTTGTACCCTAGCAATTTATCGGAGGGACAAGTCCAAATCCAGTGATGATACGAAGTGCGTCTTACAAAAGATAATATCTCCAGAAGAACTCAAACTACATGTCCAGGACATGAGGAAGGTAAAAAAGGGGGAGTTATAATTAGCGCTGAGACAAAAGGAAATATCAACAAATTAAAGAACTCTGAGAATCTTGTATCTTCTGGCCTTACCATGGAAGAGCCGACTAAATGACGTCCAAAGGTTGCAATTGTTGGTGTCCCTGTAGCCCTCACGGATAAAGAAATGTTCGAGTGCATCTTCGAACAAAATATTGCCGATAAATTTCCTAATGCCAAGCGTGAGTTCTTCCTGGCAACAGTCAAACTGAGCCATAAACCAGGTCAGAAAAACCTTCCTACCTGTAATTACATTGTTGAAGTGCGACCTAGCATCAGGAAGGCCCTTATCAATCAAGGACGAATATATATTAATTGGACCTCATGCCCAATCAGAGACTTTACAATAGTAACAAGATGCTTAAACTGCCAGCAGTTTGGTCATTCAGCCAAATTTTGTCGGGAAAGTAGCCCTACGTGTAACTACTGTGGAGAGCTCGGGCATTCCTTTAAGGAATGTAATAACAAAGCACATGCCCCCGTTTGCGCGACGTGCCAACGTTTTAAAAGAAAATACGACCACAAAACTGGTGATGAAAGCTGTCTAGCACGTAAACTCGTAGAGAACAAATATATCAACTCCATAGACTATGAGGGCGCCTAAGAGCGCCGCATATTATATTATTTACTTAGCTCTAAAACAATAGTTTTAGTTTAACTTTAAGCTTAAGTATGACGAATCAATTACTCAATGACCAAGACAACTTTTCAGTGTTTGACGCTAAAACATGTAATGTTGATTACTGTAAACACTTCCTTCCTCGTCCTGAAAATAAGTTAATCTTACTTACATAAAATATTAGAAGCATAAATTGGAATATAACCGGGTTTGAAGTTTTGTTGCATAGACTGGATATAAAATGTGATATTATTGTCCTTACAGAATGTTGCATGTCAAACCTCCCACCCCACCTACCGATTCTAGATGGCTATTCTTTACACAAAACCGAGAAAAACATTAATCAAAATGATGGTTTAGTAATCTATGTTAAAAATAATTTAAAAGTAACTGTAACAGAACCTACATTCCAGGATAGTAATTGCTTAATCATTCGAATTAATTCCGAGGCGATTGTTATCGCAATTTACAGACCTACTTCACAAAATATTGATAGATTTCTAGAGCCCCTTAATATTACCTTAAACAGCACATAGAAAAATATAATCCTAACCGGTGACATAAATATTAACATTACCCCTGGGAAAACACATAAAACGCACATAACTACCTAAATATTTGCTCTTTTCATGGATATTTCCAACACATTACCATTCTACACATCAAAGCGGCTCCTGTTTAGACCATTTTGTGATTAAATCAAATAAAGCTTCTTTAACATTAGTTACTAATTCCTCGCTTACTGATCATCAAGCAATTTTACTAACATTACAATTAGCCTTACCTAGAAAAAACTGCATACGCAACTACACTAAAGTCCATATGAAGAACCTTGAAAATGACATTCGTAGCATTAATTTTGACTTTGTTTATTGCTCTGACGATGCAAATACGTCCTTGAGTTACTTTATAAATTCTTTACAATAAAACGATCACGTAAGTATTATAATATTAAACCTTGGATAACACATAGTCTTGTCCGCAGTATAAGAAATAGAGACAAACTTCATTTAAAATCTAAGCTTTCTCCTGATAATTTAATACTTTCTGCTACTTATAAAACATATAGGAATTTTGGCAATAAACTACTAAAAAACCTCAAAATACAATATGATAAAAATGTTTTATTTTGTAAAACATTTTTATCATATTGCCGGTAAAAACAGTAAACTTGTATGGAAGTTCATTAAAAATAATGCTTTCTGTTCAAAAAACCTTGGACCCCCACTTGATCTACTGTCATTAGAAAAAAGCCCAAACGAAGCAACTGATAAAGTAAATAATTATTTTATTAATGTTGGCAAAACGCAACACTCGTAATACAATTTTTATGCCCACATCCTTTTCTAAGTTAAATTATTTTGTATTGTTAAATACCGATATTGATGAGGTTTTAAGTATAATATCTGGCTTAAAAGAAGATTGTGCAGTTTGATGGGACAATATACCTAATTGCATACTCAAAACATTTAAACATTTACTGGCCGCTCTGTTAAGACATATCTTTCAATTATGCCTATCAAATGGTATTTTCCCGAAAGTGCTTAAAAAAGCAGTGGTTTCTCCTATATACAAGGCTGGTGATAAAAACTTAGTAACTATAGGCCGATATCAGTTTTATCTGGTTTATCTAAAAGTTTGGAAAAGATCATATATACCAGGTTATTAAAATAGCTGGAAACTAACAACTTGCTCTCAGACAGACAATTTGGTTTTACGCCTAAGAGATCATGTAATGATGCCTTGCACCAATTGATAAATTATGTCACAAGTAATCTTGATAATGGTATGCACTCAATTGGGGTCTTTTTAGACCTTGCCAAAGCATTTGATACTATCTCTTGC